GCTATCCACATGAATGACCGGGTTGAGTTCTGGGCTCCCTGCTTGAGCCTTACCCAGTTCTGGTTGTTGACGGCGTTGGAGAGTGAACCAGTGAGTACAACATCATTTATTTATCTCTGTGTTTCTCTCTTCTCTGTCCTCCTATCTTTTAAATAAACTTGAAACTATTTTTTTTTAATTTAGCAGCATTTTAAATAAAGATTATACCATCTTTGAGTATGTGAACTTCAAACCATACATCTCTATGGCAGCCCTATTCTCTTAGTTATTTGAAACTGTGACTCAAGCCTATGGTACCTCAGCTCCTGTCAGTTTGGTTGATGTTGGTGAGCAGAATGGCTGAGCTTCCTACACAGTGTACTGCCTGCTCACTTTGGTCAGCAAATAGCAGCTACAAGCCACCAGAGGGCAGCTAGAAGAGCTGTTCTCAGATGCAGGAGAATGAGGGTGGAGACAGCTGCTTCCAGAGTCTGTTGCCTAGGGAAGCTTTTGTGCATTCTTACCCAGTTTCATCTGTTCAAACAGAGGCTGAAATGTGGAATTTAAAGTTCAAAGGCAAGTTCTTTGCTGTAAGCCTATTTCCCCCTTCTCTGGAATATAAATCCTCTTTTTCCTTTGGGTCCTCTTTCTCCCCCCACCCCCCAATTCAATATTGAGCTTTAGCTTACCTACATACAGTACTTTTCACACATTTTAGTGATGACATGTGTATTTAACATGGACCCACTGTCCCAATTGTGCTACAGGAATTTCCATCTTTCTAGAGAGCCCTCTCATGCCGCTTGACCAGGTTCCATATCCCTTTAAATGCTTATTCCTTAAACAAATTTTACCCTAGAACATTTGATAGTTTGGAAGTCATGGTTGTTCATAGAAGACTCTGGAAGAGCCCCACGAAAACCCCAGCAAGTCATAATCCAGCTCCATTACAAGACATTTATACAAGTTTTTGCCCTGGGTGGCTGTGGTGGGTTTAAATCTAGCTTGTATTCACCGAGAGGAAGAACTGTCATTATTTGCATAATCACCGATTTCCCATTTGTTCAAGTTTATTTTTGCCATAATTAACATTTATTACACTTAAGTACGTCTGTTAATTACCTCAATGAGTCTTCCCTACAAGGAAAGTGCTATTATTATCATCCATGTTTGCAGACTGAGGAAACAGCAGAAAGCTAGAATACGGTCACGTGTAGTGTTAATGAAAGGTTCTGTGATGGCAGGTGTTTGGCCCAGGAAACACATGTATTGGGATGCCTGGCTCTGTGTCCTTGGCTCCTGACTCCAGCTTCCTGCTAATACAGGCTGTGGGGGGTCATTGGTGATTGTTCAAGGGCTCCTGCCACCTTCACAAGACTCTCAAATTGAGTCCCTGGCCTAGCTGCACCTCTTGCAGGCATCTGGGGCAATGAACCACCATATGGAATTAGAGATTCTCTTACTCATTCTTCCTCACTCCTTTTCCTCATTCACTCTTTCTCTTCCTCTCTCTTTTTCTGTGAAGTTAGTTTCCTATTGTGAAGTGAACACAGATGAAATGAGACATTCCTTCAATGCGTTTTCATGTGGATCAATATAATCCCCAGGTTCAAAACCCATCACTTCTCTGTTTTTGCGTAATGCCCTTGGGCAGTGTCATCCGTGAACGTGGGTAAAAGCCCACATCTGTTTTTCCCTGGCTCCTGACTTCAGCTCCCTGAGCATCCTTGCGTGTGCTCAGCACGATGTTTCTGCTCTGTGCTTCTGGTGATGTCACCTTCCTGATGGGCATTCTGATCCCTACCTTATGCCGTTACACACCCACTGCCCTCCCTCAGTTTACAATGCCCTGTACCAAGAGGCTGGCTGTCCTGCCTAAAAAAGAAGAACACCTCTTCTAATCTCCCATCCCGTTCTGCTGAGCAAGTTGTGACTCCTTGAGGACCTGGCCCAGGCTTCCTTCATTAGCCCACCTACATGGCAGCCATGGGGTCATTGTTTTGTACAGCTCCCATCACCCCTCACCTGTCACAGCCAGGCTCACATGGTTTTATCCACATCTTTTTCAGCTCTGCCTTTCTCATGGTCTTTTTAGCTTGGCATTTCTAGCCTAGCTCAGTGCCTTCCGACTACATGTGCCGTGAAGGAAGAGACTGTGGCCATTTCTTTTCATTGCTAGTGTTCCAGCACCTGGCTGGCCCTGGGCCTGACCTGCAGTAGGTATTTGGTTAATGTCTGTTGACAGCATGACTGCTGGGGTGCTTCTAAGTGTCAGACTGTCATGGTGTAGTCCAGGGATTATAACTGGAAGGGTTGCCCACATAATAAAGTCTTGGTTGTACCTTCCACAGCCTCACAGCACTGTAAAGTTTTTCAAGATGCTTGTTGAGCATTGTCCATACCCATCCTGTTGTTGCAGACTTCTAGCCTACTTTGCTGGTTTGTTACCACCTGGCCTTGCTGATTTAAGGTGAGGGGGTGTGGTGAGCAGGGCCTTGGGTTGTTTTTCCAGCTGCCATTAACCACAGTCAGGGTGGTTTGAGTGCCAGGTGCTTATTTCCTCACTGTAGTGGAGCCTGGAAGTACAAGACACACGGGTCAGCAGGGTTGGTTTCTCCCGAGGCCTCTCTTTCCGCCCAGCAGATGGCCACCTTCTCATTGTGTCCTCACCCATAATCCCTCAATCTGTGTTCCAGTCTCTTGCAGAAGGATGTGAGCCATATCGGATTGGGGTGTTTCCCCAGTGACCTCGTTCAGCCTGAGTTATATCTCTTTCAAGAACCACCCTCCTCCCCTGCCCTCTATTTGCAACCAGCGTTTGAAACCTGAAGGGGCTCATTTACAGCTCATCTTAGATGGCAGTGGGGAACTGCCAGCTCCAAGTTTCTCTTCCTTGCTCTGATGCCTGTTTTACAGAATGTCAATAAATGGGAGCACAGGAGTCCTCCAGGAGTGCATTTTGTCCACCAGGGCAGGATCTGAGTACCTATAATCTGCGCCTGCTCACACCCTTCATCTCTACTCTGGCTGTTTTGACCTTGGGACCATTTTCATGTTTTTTAAACAGTTGCCATTCAGATTCTGGTTCGGTGCTTTTCAGCTTAAAAATTCAGGTTGTTTCCTCCCTCCAAAACTGGTGTGTGGGCTACTGACTTTGCTTGCCAGGGGTTCAGTGGGCAGTGGAGGTAAGAGCCATATAATGACATGGTACCGCCCCCATTTGCTGTAAGCAAACAGCCAGGTCTTTTATTGCCCTTGATATGGGCACTCGTGATACAGGTTGGTTTCAGAGAAGCAAGTCGAACGCCAAGTTACTGTGGGTCAAAGTTCCTCCAAGGGCTGTGTGTTAATCAAAAACTAAACATTAGTTAATTTGGGCACTGAGCTGGGAAGAACTTTGGAACAAATGATTACTGAGTTGGACTGCAGGAGTTAAGCATAATCCAGGGCGCTCTTACCCAGGAGAAAGGTCGTCTTTGCTGGGGATGCAGAGTGGGGGAGCCTTGTTATGCATGGTCCTATCCGTTTTTGCTTTTTTTGTGTATTTATTTATTTGAAAGAGTTAGAGGGAGAGGGATGGAATGAGAGAGGGATCCTCCATTCTCTGGTTCACTCCTTAGATGGCAGCGAAGGCAGGGGCTGGGCCTGAACAAAGCCAGAAGCCCATAACTCCACGTCCTCCCACTTAGGTGCAGGGACCCAAGCACTTAGACCATCTTTTGTTGCCTTCCCAGGCACATTAGCAGGGAGCTGGGTAGGAAATAGAGCTCAAATCAATGCCCATATGAATTGGTATTACAGAAGGCAGATTAATCTCCTGATGCCAGCTTTGCACTATTCATTCTTGGTAAGGTGGTATTGTATTACAGTCTGCTGTATAGAACTAAGTTAATCAAAAACTTACTGCCGGGCCAGGCGCGATGGCGCAAGTGGTTAAGGTCCTCTCCTTGCACACCCGGGATCCCATATGGGCGCCGGTTCTATCCCGGCAGCCCTGCTTCCCATCCAGCTCCCTGCCTGTGGCCTGGGAAAGCAGGCGAGGATGGCCCAAGGCTTTGGGGCCCTGCACCCGTGCGGGAGACCCAGAAGAGGCTCCTGGCTTCGGATTGGCTCAGCTCCAGCCGTTGCGGCCACCTGGGGAGTGAACCATTGGACAGAAGATCTTCCTCTCTGTCTCTCTTCTCTGTATATACACCTTTCCAATAAAAATAAAAATAAATCTTAAAATAAAACAAAACATACTGACTTAAACGTGAAGGTGAATAGGTAGAAAATACTATTTATTTAGGAGGCAGAAAAGCCAGAGGAAAAGAACTTTTCAAACACGAGTCAAAATAAATAAAGCAGTTTTGTGTGCTTGGGAAGTTGACCTAAAAAATCACAATGCAACATGCCTCTGCAGAAAGATTTAAACAGATGTGATAATCCTCACTTGTTTTTCCCCTGAGTATTCCCTCTGGACCAAGTTGTAAGGGTTTTATATTTGCCAAGCCCATAGTAGGATGAGGAAAGATGCCGGAAATCCCCCAGCCTAGCCAGCAGTGGAGGTGAGTGTTGGGCACCTGGCACACCTGCGAGCCTGCCCTCCCTGTCTCTGTGCCTCTTTGTACGAAGGCACGTCCCCAGGTTTACAGACAGTGGAATGCAATAAAATAATTTTGGTGCAGAGCATTCTGAAAGTCAAGGATTCTTTTTCATCTTATGTATTTTCCATGCACTTTTTGAAGAGCCTCTCTGTGTTTTCTTCTGAGTAACATTTTGTTGTTGTTGTTGTTGGTTATTGTTGATTGTCCTTTAGCTAAAATGAAGCTAAATTGCCTTGCAGAATAGGCAAAGGGCTGGGCCCTGTTTTCCGCACGTATATGTGGATTAGTAGTTGCACAGCTTTCCCTGTGGTCCCGTGGCACACAAAGTGGTGGGATGATAAGTGTGTGTCCCACCCCTTTCCATTCCAGTGGGTTGTGAGCTGCGCTGCCTCCTCCTCAGGTCAGTCATGTTATCTTTTCTGTTTCACTGTGCAGGTAACGGAGGCCTCCGAGGGACACCTTGCAGCAGGTCGCCCAGCAGAGAGCAGCTCTTCTCTGGCCCGCTGAAGAGGTCTGGTGAGTTGAGCCGGCTTCCTCTTGTACTGTGTTGAGATGAATGTAAACTAACTAGCATGGAGAACAGCATGTGCACAATCCATGATGACATTCGAGTGCTAATCTCCACCACCACCCCCCTTTAAAAAAATACAGTCGATTGTCTGCCATTGCTTCATTTCCTAGGCTAGAGCACCCTGTGTGTCTGTAGGCACAAATGTTCCTCCAGGACTCCCACAGTCTAAAAGGGTTACAGAGCTAACTCGGCGTGATTTTGTGTAAACTCCTTCAGTAGTTCACGTGGCATTTACTGTGTGCTAGCAGTTTTTATTCACTTGGTTTTTTTTTCTAAGGGTTGAAAGTTTCAGAGCTAGGAATGAAAGGTCTACTGAGAGATAGCGAATTAAAGGTTCTGAATGTTGAAAAAGCAGCTTTTTTTTTTTTTTTTTTTTGATGTTGGGAGCTCAGGGACCCCATACGCCATGGGTGCTGGGAATGCTGGTGCCCCAGTGGCCCTTATATGATAACGCAACGGTCTCTAGCCAAGGAATCCCAGAGTAAGGATTTCTCTGAAAGCCACAGTCCCCTCCAATGATTGGCTTCTAGCTGTTCCCGATAGGAGTACACCATGTCCAGGATGGCTCATCAGTGTTCGCTTAAGAAAGAGGCCTAATCTACATTCATGCTGAATGTATGGGAAAGTAGCAGCTTCCAAGCTAATACTGTTGCATGCCAATCCCAGGCCATGTGGGCCTGATGTAGACAGATCCTTTATTGTTTTAAGATTTATTTACTTACTTGAAAGGTAGAGTTGTGAAGAGCAAGAAGGAGAGATCTTTTATCCATTGGTTCACTCCCCAAATGGCCACAATGTCCAGGACTAGGCTAGGCTGAAGCAAGGAGCCAGGAACTTCATCCTGGTTTCCTCAAGTGGGTACAGGGGCCCAGGTATTTGAGTCATCCTCCATTGCATTCTCAGATGCTTTGGTCAGAGCAGCTGGGTCCATACAGAATGCTGACAGCAGCATTGTGCCTCAAGGCTGGTGCCTATCTGCGTGTTAAGATTTACTAAAGCACCATGTTGTGGAACCCCTAGGATGATAACCTACTAATCCTGAAGATCCTAGGTAACAAACCGGGCACTCGTTTTTCTCAGCACCCATTTAGGCAGGGTGTCAAAAAGACTGCTGGAACCAGCTTCTTGCCCCTGCTTCTAGTTTGGGGTCATCCTGAGACTCTCGGATTTTAAACCTTAGTGCTCCATGTTCATATTTTCTGTCGAGTACTGCTGAGTGAAGCATTCTGACCAGTGTCTGGTTTGACAAATTCAGACACTCACACGTGTGTGAATGATAGTTCGGAAGTTCATGGAAAATGCAAACTATGGCAGAAATTCTAAATTTTTTGCACCAAAATAAACTTTTCTCTTAATTCCGTTTTACATGAACTTTTTGAATTATTCTACACTCACACACATAAACACACTCCACTAGGAAATCCAGTCACACCAAGCTTGCCATCTCAACGGTGAGTTTGATGGGGTCATTTTCTGAGTGTGTGTGTGTATCTATATGTATTGAGTGACCTGTTAAATGGATTTGCCTAGCTCTGGTCATATGTATTTAAATGTATATGTATATGAGAAAGAGAAAATTTTGCCTCAGTCTGAGATGAAACTAACCAATTTTCTCCATATTGAAGAAAAGAGAATTATTGGCCATAACCAGTAGAAAGACCTTTGAGCTTTCAGCAAGCCGTTGGTGACCTCTTTGGCTATCCCTGGAACACGGTGGCCATACCTGATTGCCCTGGGCACTGTGGGAAGCATGTGTTCCACTGTGACTGTGGGCACCAGAAGATGGTGGCAGCCACCAGGGAAGTTGAGAAAGACAAGTCAGAGTGTTGCATTCCAAGTGAGAGTTAAGTTGAGAGGTAGATTTTATTTAACCTGCAAGCTACATTGAAAAGAAGGAAAATGAGGCTGCTTGAGACATTGGTTCTTTAGGAAACAGTTTTGTTTTTTGAACTGTAACTCATTTAGCAAACTTGTTGATCTCTTCGTAACACAATTTTCCTAAAATGTGCAAAAAGTAGACATTTAGGGGAATGACCTTTTCATTCTTATTTTTTAAAAAAATCCTGTTTAGTTTCATTCCATTTGAAAGGCAGAGATAATCTTACATCTGTAGATTCAATCCCCAAATGCCTGAGGAAGCCTGAACTAGCACAGGGCCTCCTCTTTGGGTCTCCTGTCTGGAGAACCAGCCCCCAAATATCCAAGCCAACAGCTGGAAGCTGGATCAGAAATGGAGAAACTGGGGCTCAAATGAGGTCTTCTTTAGTGTAGGGTGTGGGCATCCCAAGTGATGCTAACTGCTGCGCCAAATGGCCGTTCCTACTTTCCCCCGAAGGTGAACACTTTAGACCTGCTTGTGTGGTCCAGATAAAGAGAAGTTGCTGAAGAAAACTCAAAAGACCTGGCAAAGATGCTCCTTTAGTCGGTTCCTCACAGGAGCCTGTCACAGAAACTAGGCTATCCCAAACAGTCTCCACAGGCAGGTTCTAAAAGAGACTTTTCTGCTGGATGTGTTGCATTCCCAACACACATTACTCTTTTTCGTCCAGCAAAATGTTACTACAAAGAGGGCAGAATGGCCAGGGCAAAGAACCAGAACAGGTGCAAAGAGGAATACAAAGATAATCCAGATGTGATCCTTGTCCCAACTGGATTTTAACATGAAAGTTGAGTGCTTAAAGAAGAAATGCTATTAACAAGCAAGGGTCGCATCGCCACTTGGCGAATTTCATGTGATTTGGTGTTCCTGTTTGCTGCATTTCCAGATTTACCAGCAAGTAATTCCATCATCGTGTTTGGATCTTCCCTTCCTTTTCTTTTGTCTGATCTCTAATCTAAATCAGTGTAAGTGTTAATTGAGGTGGGAGGCTTGCTGATATTGAAAACTTGGAGGCAGAAATAGCCCTGGAGTCCACTGTGCAATGCCCTTGATGGTAAAAGCTAAAAACTTTTTCCAAGGCTTGATGTCAGAGCAGTGGAACCCAATGCATAGCCCACGGTGAGCACCATCCACCAGTGACTCTCCTCACAAAGCATTCATGTAACTGGAGTCAGTTTCTTCAGACCCACAACAGCTGTTTACAGCTGGTGTTTGGGAAAGCTGTTTATATTCATTCATAGGATACCAGGGCAGGGAGTTTGATTCTAAACTGGACAGTTTCTCTGGTTAAAATTAGTTCACTCATGTGCACAAAAGATTCATGAATCCAGGGGTGTCGTTGGCTCCTCTTTGATGACTTGCTTTTTGCCAGACAAGATGACCCATTTCCAGAACTGAAGAGGGAAAGAGGTGGATGGGAGCCATGATTTGACCAATAATGTGGCACATAAGAGTTTGTTTGCCTACAAGAGGCCTGTCTTTTCTACAAGGAAGTGTCCCTCCCTACCCCAAACTCACCCTTCCTGCACAGGGAAAGTGAAAGCCATGAGCCTCAACAAAATGTGTCATTTGGCAGAATAATGGTCTATTGATGGTCTGAAGCTTTTACAGGTGAATATTTCCTGCTGGGGAAAGCGAGAAGAATACTGCAGGGTTAGAAGCAGATTTTGCAGGTGATGCTTGAATATCACCACAACATCTGAGAAGATGCATAGTCTGCAACGTAGGCCATGCACATGCACTGGCATTAGGCTGGGCTGTGGCTCATGGGAGGCCACACATTGGTTCATACAGGTACTCCCAGGTTGGTCAGCAGCAGCTGTGCCAGGGAATCAGAAAACAGAACGCTTCATCATCATCTCAGTCAGGCTCCCAGCACTGCATGCTAGTCCTGCTTCCAGGAAACGACAGTAGCAGAACAGCCACCTTGTTTTCGTCAAGAGTGTCACAAGCCCTGCATCTGCTAAATAAGAGTTTCTTTTGAAACTGATAATGAGGTCAGCAGAATAGAAGGAACTCCTCGAGCAAAGAATGCAATGCTTGTTGAAACGCTAGGCTGCAGTGAGAGGTACTCGCGCAGACATGAGCTGGAACTGTACACAGGCAGCACCAACCGAGTTTTGTTCAGCTCTGTATGTTCAGTAACAGAGGGGCTGGCATTGTGGCCCAGTGCGTTAAACTCTTCACGTGAAATGCCTGCATTTGAGCCCTGGTTTGTTTCCAGTTCAGCCGCCTGCTTGTGTACTTTGGATAGGCAGTAGAGGATGGCCTAACTGCTTGAACCCCAGCCACCCACATGGGAGACCAGAATGGAGTTCCTGGCTCCTGGCTGAGACCTCGCCCAGATCTGGCTATTGCATCATTTAGGGTGTAAGCTAGTGGATAGAAGATCTCTCTATCCTGCCCTCTCTTTCTCTGTTATTCTGCCTTTCAAATAAAGCATAAAAATTAGAGTGATTTTTTTAAATTGAGAATTATAGAAGAGGTGAGCCAGATATTCCATCAGCTGGTTTACTCCCCAAATGGCCACTGTGGCCAGAGCTGGGCTAGGCCAAAGCTCGGATCTGGGCCATCATCCAGTGCCTTCCCAGATGTACCAGTAGGGAGCTATGTCAGAGGAGAAGCAGCCAGAACTTGATCTGGTACCCATATGGGATGCATTTGTTGCAGCTGGAGGTTTAACCTGCTCTACCACAGTCCTGGCCCTCAGGGTGATGCTTACAGTCATAAAACATTGGCGTTAGAAGGTGGTATCGAGGTGATTCTGAAAATAACTGTGACAATTCACTGACTGATATGTACCAAGCACAAGAGAAGTCTTGTGTGTGTGTTATCTTTTTTATTTGAATAGCTTGTTTTCATCTCTGTGATCGTCTCATAAGGTGAATGCTTGGGTTCTTGTTTTGCAAGCAAGGAAACGGAGATTTATACAAGGGTTAAGTAACTCGTGCAGGTCTCACAGGGCACTGTAGAGCTGGCTGCATACTGAGTCTGTTGTCTGTTTTACACCCCAGAAGCACAGAGTCCAGGAGACCTAGAGTTCAAATCTCTTGATGCTGATAACCC